AACACAGTGCTAGGCTGCATTAACAGAGGGATAGAATCAAGATCACGTGAAGTATTAATACCACTTTACAATGCCTTGGTAAGGCCACACTTGGAATACTGCATCCAGTTTTGGTCACCACGATGTAAAAAAGATGTTGAGACTCTAGAAAGAGTACAGAGAAGAGCAACAAAGATGATTAGGGGACTGGAAGCTAAAATATATAAGGAACGGTTCCTGGAATTGGGTATGTTGAGCTTAATGAAGAGAAGGACGAGGGGGGACATGATAGCAGTGTTCCAATATCTCAGGGGCTGCCACAAAGAAGAGGGAGTAAAGCTATTCTCCAAAGCACCTGAAGGCAAGACAAGAAGCAATGGATGGAAACTAATCAAAGAGAGAAGCAACCTAGAACTAAGGAGAAATTTCATGAAAGTTGGAACAATTAATTAGTGGAACAACCTGCTTCCAGAAGTTGTGAATGCACCAATACTGGAAGTTTTTAAGAAAAGACTGGACAACCATTTTTCTGAATGGTATAGGGTTTTCTGTCTGAGCAGGGGGTTGGACTAGAAGACCTTTAAGGTCTCTTCCAACTACTATTATTATTATTAATCCTATTCTGCTGTACTTAACATATCGCTGGCAGTTAGAGAAATGCTTTAGTTAAGTAAAGTGAATTTAGTCAGTGCTTTTTTATAAAAAAAAAGGTGCTGGAACTCACACACGTCATACAACCTGCCTTGCCTACCCTACAAGGTTTACCTTTGTAGTTGAAAAAAAACCCCTTCAATTTTTAGTGTATCTAAAAGACTAGGATTTTGTTCAAGGTAAGTTAATACTATTAATGTTACCATGCACTGTGTGGCTTTAAATTACAAGAAGGCATTATATTAATCTTTTTGGACATTTACCACTGGCATACCGATTTAGTTTAATGAGTGGAAATGTCAGCTTTCTATGTGGCCCAATAAAACAAAATTTGGTTGCTTGTAAAAGATTGAATTATTTTTAAGAAGTTGTCAAACAAGGTGGAAAAATTTACATTTGGAGTTTAATATGGATACTGACTTGAAACAAATTAAAGTTGAAACTTTGTCAGTGAACAGATTACTTTTAATTTACCTTTAAGTTAAACCCAATTTAATAAATAGATCTGATTAAACCTCATACTGTAGATCTACCTTTACATCTGACCAATACATAATTAATATATATATATATTATTAATAATAATACCTCCAAATCACAAGACATTGGCTTTATTCTTATTCTTCCCCTCTGCAGTTTGAATATAAAGTATAAAAGACTAAAAAGAGATTTTCGTAGACATCCCAGCCTTTGAACTACCCAAGGAACCGAAACAGCAAAGTTTCGCTGTCGGGCAAGCTTCCACACCAGCCGCCTTTCTTTCCTCTCACTTCGCCTCTTTTTAACCTCACACCCCGCCTTGTGTAAGGGAAGGCAAAAGGCTCGCTCACCCTTTCGTGAAAGATGGCCTCCATGTTTATGTGTCTCCCACCACCACCATTGGTTTCCACACCACATGATCTGACCCAGCCAATCAAGCCACGCTCTGGCTGTGGTGCTCCGGCGCCTCATGGCTCCTCCTAGAGGAGGCAGACAGCGCCGGAGGGGACCCCGCTCACACCATACCACCAGCGGGGCATTTTCAAAAGCAAACGAGGATAGGAAGGGGAACAATAAGAAAAGAACGCAACTCTGGAAAATCCATCGAAAAAAGTTGCTGGAACTCCGTTCCGGTGCGTTCTATGACAAAAAACGCTCTGAATTTAGTAGTATTATTAGTACCCTTAGTTAGAGTCTATATCCACAGAAAAACTCCAGAAAGATTTGCTATCACAATAGTTCAGCTATTCTTCCATGACAAAGGAAGAAGAAAGTTCCAAGTATAACTGTTATGAGAATTTAAAACATTTCAAATTTAAGAAAAATAGTAGGCTTGATAGGATCTATTCTACAGAAACTATATTTGAATAAATTATCTTGAATAAGAAAGATCTTGACAAAAGAAAAGATCTGGCAGTAGGAAATGTGAGGTTGATATTATGGATAAAAGAAACTTACCTTAGGGAATTCTCTTTTGACAAAGACCATGAGCATGGACGTTTTCCCACAACCTCCATCTCCTATTACCACCAGCTTGATCTCAGTAATTCCTCTGGTCTCTTGTTTGGACCCTGACTGCCCTGGAGCCTCTTGATTTCTTTGCATGTCTATCAATTCTCAGGACACTACAACAAGGTCTTTTTGAATGATCTAAGAAAATGAGCCATGAAGATTTTTCTTCTTTCTGAATAGTTTTCTATTCTCACATTGCTGCTTATCTCCTGTCCTTCTGTAGCTTAAAATCAAAGTCTTCAGCATAGCAACTATAGGTCATAGAGGCTAAGATTAGGTGTGGTTGGAATGTGAATAGAGTGACTGGCACAAGGAAGAAAAAGCAAACAGGAAGGCTGTTACAGAAGCAACCACCCATTGTGTGACAAAGCATGGAAAACATAATGATAAAGGATAGATAGAGGATAAAAATATGTTATAAAATAAGAACTCATAATGCTTCCTTAAATTTGCCCCCACCTTTTAAGTTATTTTAAAATGTTAAAAAGGTAGTTCAAATGCAAATGAGATACAGTATGCTATCATTCATCTTTTAGCATGTGAATGGATGCTAACATGTGAATGCAAATAACAGGTGAACAGCTATACTGTGTCTTGGGGGAACAAGTGTAATTATTTGTAATTACACAATCTGGTCATTTGTAATTATGTACACAATAAGAAGCATTTCTAATTTATATATGTGTCACATATTTGTGATGACTTATAAGCTCCACTACAATATGCAGTGGAATAAGAAATGAAACATGAATAAGAAATAGTCAGTGTATGTACAAAGACCTCATTTAAGCGGGAGTGGTGTACATTGAAAAGAGGTGTCAAAGGAAAACAGTGCATGTGCAAAATATTATACAGTATTCAGAGATCTGTGCATGTACATGATATTAATCCTATATCCACATTTATGCTTGCACATAGTTCTTCAATCTTTTGATCCAAAATTTGTTTTTGAGAAAAACTGATTGCTTCAAGATTCCCTGACAGGGTGGATAGAAGCTTGTTGATTTTGCAGACCAGTGCTCTGGGCAGTTATTCCAGATACAAAGAGGTACCAGGTCAAAGGTGGCTTAGCCTTCCTTGAACTCAGTGCTTTGTTTGATGAGGACCTGTAGACCAGAAGAGGTTGATCCAGGAGAATTTAGTCCATTTCTGTTCTTTCTCTTGCATTCTTCTTTTGAGTTCAGCAAAAATGCCCTTTTCTGTTAATCTTAATGGGCCATTAATCTCACCCCCAAGGCAAGTAGTTTGCTGCTATCACAACCACAGGATACTCTGATCCTCAAAACCAGTCTTAAAAAAAGAGGCTTGAATGTATGGAAGAGGCAGAAGAAAATGTAAAATTAAACTTTTAATTTGTAATTTACACATTTTAAAAACTATAAGGCCACCTTTTCTGTTATAAGAAATTCAATAATTGAAATGCATCTAAAACAAAAATTAAGTAAGTACAGTATATAGGGTAGCAAATAATATTGTTCAGAAAGCAGCATCTAGAGAAATGCTATACTTTGTCTGATTATAATTGGACAGCCAGAAGTTTAGACTGGATTTGGCATTTTTATCCATCTATGAAGTCCTTCTCAAGGACCTGGGATCAACATGTTGTTTGGTGGTATATACATCTCAGGATGTAAACTATTCCAAGTAAAACTACCTTTTACAATTAACTAATGGTGATTTAATCAATGCCAATTATTTCTAAAGTATTCCACAGGATAGAACTGATTTGTTTTGTAAAGTGCCTTTTGTCTTGTATGTTTAATATAGCAGAGAGGAACCTTACTAGTCCAATTTCTACTAGACTTATTTGCAGGTCAGAGAAAGTTTTATTTATAACACAGCTGTGTAGCTAGTAGCATTTACAGTAATATGCACTTTTTACAATCAGGTCTGTAAAAAACTGATAATCAAAGAAAGAGATGGAGTATACAACCCCTTTACATGGTATATTCATAGCATGATGATGATTAAAATAATACATGTCACAGGCCAAGTAGAAGTGAACATGTATCTCTCATTCTCCTAAACTTGAGTCTTTCATCCAGGCAAAAGAAAAGTATTTCTTTTCTCTTTCAACTCACAGCAAGTCTCTGGAACTTGTCACCAGAAGATATGGTGAAGGCTATTGAAGGGGAATAGTCAAATAAAAAAAGAAAAACAAGGCATTTTGATTTCTTGAATTCCAAGAATTAAAATCAACATAGGGCTGGGTACAATCAACAATTATTTTTCAAGAAAACTATTAATATATAGTCATGATCTAGACATATGGTAATTTACTGTGCAGATGCAGTTCCTTTGGGGATGGGCAATAGTGACTGAACTAGAATTGCCAGTTTGTAGCTTTTCATTTAATTTCCCTTTGAAAATTATGAGGTAGCAAGAGAAACTAGAATAGCTTTTGCTGCTTGGGTACTCAAATTAAGTAGTCACTTATCTTACTGTAAAGCAGAGGTGGAGCATACAGCAAATTAGGTCAAGATGGTGGGAAAGAAAAAATATATATGCATACTCTCCATCAGGAGGAAGTATGTATAAAAGGCAGTACAAATTTTCTGAGTTGCAACCAGCTGTAGAATCTATAATCACCAAAACAACAAAGTCAGAGGTGGAACTTGTAATGTTGTGACTCATAACACAACACAGCTTATCAGATGGAAGATTCTGGATCATACCTTGGTCGCTCCCAGTATATAAATAGCTGATTCATCATTCATCAGCATGGCCCATCCCAGATGAAATTATTTATAATTTTTTTCTGTTTCCCTTTCTCCTACCTTATGTCATGTTCCAAAGCTCCAAGGTTAATTGGTTTTTATGTTGTGGTTGTAATAAATTTGAAGGAACTAAGATGTATGGTTTGGATTAGCTTTTTCACTGTTTCATTTTGGTTTAATATTTCTATTTTTATTAATAAGATATTGAGAAGTGAATTTAAGATGTGAAGGTAATGTTAAATTATGTATCAGTAATTTGGAGCCAATTGATCTGTGATGGAGCTTTGGGTATATCAGGTTTAGGATATATCAAAGAAAATAATAATGTGCAGGTGAAAAGGAGCTACAATGCCAGATATAAAATCTTGGATTAAAGTAATATATTCATTGTCAGCATTTAAACTGGCCCTGTAGAGATGCAGTAAAAGAGTGTGAGATGTAAAACCCCCAAATTTTGATACTCACAATAAGAAGACAAGTCTGGTTAACAAAACAAAGTTTTATTGGAGAAAAACATAAAAATAATAAGAAAAGAAAAGAAAGGCGTTTGCAAACGCAGCCTCCTGGACTCTTCCCAAATTGGTTTGGGTTCCAAGAGCGCAACAAGCAGTTTCCAAGCTATACAATTTATACCTTTTACAATGCAGTCATGCCTAAGTCCCATTCCCTTTCTCTATATTCTTTGAAGTTGCTTTACATTTAAAAAGATCATCCTGGCAATTTCCGTCCATCCGCTGTGGTCTTATCTTTGTTTATTTGTAATTTCCACTTTGTGATCTTATCTTTGTTTATTTGTAATTTCCACTTTGTGATCTTATCTTTGTTCATTTGTAACCTCTACTCAAGTAGGTCATAATTCATTGTCTTTGCTGATTACCGTACTTTTTGTGGTCACTTTACATAGGCAGGAAGAAGTAGACAGACCTTCTCACACAGTTGGCAGTGCATTGCTACATTAGTGTTACAGTGTTACATTTGTGCTAAATAGACAATCTCATATAATGGTATTACATTTCTACAATTACATTTCTACATTTTATGAAAGAATAACTTTTATTTATTTTCTTCAATTGTGATCAATATGGCTGTATGTTGTTAAATTTTACAATGTTATGTTGTTAAAAAAAAACCTGTTTTCTAATGTGACTATGTTCTGTTTGGTGGGAGGGAAATTTGTCCAGAATGTTTGTATTGCCTGTCTTGCAATACAATTTTGATACTCACAATAAGAAGTGAGTGCATGCACACAAACACACAAACACACCATTCAGAATCACACTGAGGCTATCCCCTTCACCCACCTCCATGTAAAGCTCTCCAGGCTGGTTCTTGCTCTGTGGCACTAAAGCCTTTGCATGCATACCTTCCTGCAAATTCCACGGGGGAGGAAATCATGCAATTTACAGGCAATTTTCAATTCATATGCCCTCACTGAGGAGGTAGCAGGAAAGAGATCTCCAAACCCAAGCCCTGACTATGTTACACTGGTGGACTCATAGTGGGAGTCCTAGGGCTCACTGTGTACGATTTAAGAAATATTAATAGCCTGGCTTGCACACTGGCTAACCTCAATTGGACATCACAAACCTGGATGCACTAAACTGCTAAGGCAGGAAATAACCCTTGAAAATGGGCAGCCAGTAATTATTTATTAACTGTGAAGAATTTTGGGGCCTGTGCAAACCTGACTGAAAGCTCACAGGAAGTGACATCAAACATCTAAAAGAAATGGCACAAAATATTGGACACTATAAATTTCTTTTCCACCTAACAGAACTTTTACCCTGGCTTCTAGACCTTCAGGGGTTGAAAGTTCGCCTTTTGTGAGCCACTGCAGGGATCTTTTTCTGCGGCCTCTATCAGTGTCTTCCCCTCTGCATTAACAGTTTAAAAACCCGTTTCCCCACATCCTGGAACCCTTCCATAGAAGCACCTATTAAGTCTCCCTGAGCAGATTAATTCTTAATCTGGCACAAAGGGAAAATTGTTGGAAGTCAGCACCCACCCTCCCTCCTAGAGAAGGAAATATTTTGGGGAATAATAAAAAGGCAGAAACCAGCCCCCAGTTTTCCTCCCCCAAGCAGAAACTAGCTTTTAGAAATGCAGATTTGATGATCCATTCAGGAAGACTGAAGGCAGGAGGGCTGGAGCTAAGGGGATTAGAAAAACAAAGACTCCAAGGACAGGAACATAATCTTTAGGCCACAATAGGATTAACCCTTCATCATTAGAATACCAAAAGGGCACACTCAAGTTCAGGTCAAAGTACATTGCACAGGAACAGGAAGAACTTCAAATACAAAGTCCAAGAAGGTATAAAAATCTACCCACTCCCAACTCCATTTTGGTCAGATGTCCCAAAACTGTGTGCTGTTGCTGTTCTGCTCTTCAATAAACAAACCTTCTTTCCAAACAGCCTCCATTTTTATTTCTAGCATCTTAGCCTCCATTTTGTTTGCTCCCAGCTTGGACTGGACCTGATGATTTTTCTTTCAACAACTATCTTTTATATTCATACTGTGACTTGATTTAAAAAA